ATTAAGAATCTGTAGTAACAAGACATTACATACTGAAAGAGTCTTTGAAATGATACCTGTGAAAAAAAAAGATCTGTTGAAGAACGACAATCAGTTGATAATGGCGGTTAAGAGATAAATACAAACGAAGCAAAACAAATAATAACTTAATCTGATTAGTTCTTGCTCAATTCAACAATCGAAAATTGATTTAAAAATCAATTATATAAACTAGATATTTGATCGCCCGTGGGCGTATCGTTGCTCGTTTTATTTCAGCTTCATTTACAAGAAGACAACTTCTTCAGTTACTAGTAGGCGAGAAACCATTCTTTAAGAAATTCATATCTATTCTTCTTGCTGGTATAGCGAGTATGGTTTTAATGTTAAGGGAAAGGAACAGTGCTAGAGTAATCTGATCTAAAAGATGTCTTAACATAGTTTTTGTTTTTTCATATTTGGCAAAGGAATTGAGATAAAGATATTGGTTAAACTATATTACTATTCTCTTTTCGCTCCATAATATACTTATGAAATCCAAGATATCTGTTAAGTACAGATAATTAAAACGTGTTTTGCATAAAGGGCCTCTTCGTCTATATACTCTGCTTTTCACGCGCTCTCTCTATATTTCTTTTATAAATATCTCTTCATATTTCCGTTTACCTACATTCACATGCACAGATTGGTCAAACGCACCCCCCACACACATGCACACACGCACACATTTATCATATGTGTGTGCGTAACTGTGTAGGAAAAAAATATTCAAATATTGCTACGGTTCCGCAAATTAAAGTTTTATGTGGACTTCCAGTTTGTTTTACGGTTGTCTCAAAAACTTCAAGCGGTTCAACGGACAAGATACCCAACTCTATATTTCGAGTATTTAATATATATATATATATATATATATATATATATATATATATATATATATATATATATATATATATATATATATATATATACTAATAAACTTATAAATATAAGCAGTTATACTCATCCGGCTTGGAAAAAAAGTGTAAAAAAGAAAGAACTAAGAACATGTACTTCCGGCGAAAATAATTGTCTAGAATTAAAGTTCAGAGTCCAAAGAATAAAACCACCGACACGACTAAATTAAAAATAACAAAGCAAAGTGATCAATACGCTAAGTAGAGCAAACTAAGTAAACCTAAAGAGCCAGACCAACCTACCTAGGTTTCACCAACGCGGGTCGGCAGAGTAAACTGGCTGACGATCCACGTAGGTGAAACCTAGGTAGGTAGGTTTGTCTGGCTCTTTAGGTTTACTTATTAACAATATGGCAAAAATGGAGCACGGAAAAAAAGTTTTAAGTCTGGAATTTTCGGACACGCCTGTGTCCTTCTTCAACGGAACGAGAAATAAACAGAGAAATGGAAATTACTCACCGACATATGTTTTTAAGAGAGGGATAGCTTTACCAAATACACAATTATTAAATTACGGCAGCAAACAAGGAAAGTCACACTCAGAAATAACCTTGTTTAATATCCTACCACACACTCATTCAGCAGTTCTATATACTTATGTGAACGTGTGCGGGGTCAAATTCTTATTTAACCATACGTACCTTATTTTAGAACATAAAACACAAACTCGCATATTAAACCCCTATTCCATTTCAGCGGGGGCATATTTTATAAAGGATTTTATCCTATTTGAGAATGTTATGTTTAAAGCAAGCTATTAGTAATTTACAAACAAATTAAGAGCGGAATTTAATTATAACTGAAAACGTACTGTATATAAAAAGCAAATCAGTAGTACAGTTGAACTTAAGGAGAAAAAAACACAATAGTGAAAATAGCATACGTGATGACTAATAAAGAATGTCAACAGTACTTTTTTTACGATATCTTTTACTACTATTACTATAACTACATCTACGAGTAATTGAGTAAATGTTATTGTGGAGACAGGAGTGACCGTCTAGAGTAAAATTATAGCCTAGGGTAGTGAGCGTTGGCGATAAAAAGAGAAACCTTAAATTCATATATAAGACACAGAGTGAATTTTGGAACAAACAAAATGCGAACAATATGCCGTTCAAATGAAATAAAACAGCATATTTTCAATATCTTTTTGATAATAAAAATCAATAATTCTCACTCATTGGATCATTTATTGACATTGTTCAAGAGTTTTTATTGTTTTTTCCACGCTTGGGACTGAAGTGTAGTTTTTTTTTGTTTTTTTTTTGATTCGTTACTCTCCATCCCAATACAAATTTGAACGTCATTACAGATAGGTGAACTCAAAAAAAAAAAAAAAAAAAAACCCAAAAAACGATAATCTGAAAAAACTAAAGCAAATACTTGGAATAATGTTATACTAAAGGAAAAAAAATCATTGTATGATAATTCGATTCCAGCTATCATTACAAAATTATCAATCATTAGGCGCTTACAGTAGAGCAATATTCATTTAATAAGCTAGCCTAGAAAATCGTAGCTAGTTAAAAAGATTTGAACCTGACCTACGACTGTGACCCTGAGTATACACAGTGAGTGTGAGCGTTCTCTTTCCTGTAAGCGAATAATTATAAAATCATTCTTCAAAGGATTTTGCACTAAATAAGTCTTGTGTCAACGAGTGTAGAATTCATTATATGGTGTTTCCCACCTCATATCTACAATGGTGAGTTTTGTGCTTCACTCGTCATATTCTGCTTCTAGTGTTTGTATATGAGCTTGAAATCTGCACGCTTTAAGGGATGTATTGTTGGAGGTTCATTATCATACATTCATAACAAATGTAATTTTAGATCCCAGATAAGGAGGCCTTACCTCTGCTTATTTATTTTAAACTTGTAAAATCCACAATGCCCATTGTTTATTGTTAGTCCTTTAGAATAAATATTCATTCAAATGAGGGAAAAAGACTTTAGTTCGTACACATTACAACAGCGATATTTGCTTATGGTTCCACTTCAGTGTATTCGATCTATCGATGAAGCGTGTGGGAAAAGCAGGCAGATAAAAGCCAGACCAATGTACCTTGTATAATAATACATCGGTCTGGACAGCGGAGAACCTGATCAATCTAATGACAATCAATAAGAATAATCCGGATCTAGAAATCTTCCAATGAGAGGTAAAAATGAAAAATAGGTTAATATTCGGTGTCTTTCATTAACAATCGTTCATTGATTGGAGGCCATGTAAGTATTTTCCTTGGGTGAATTCGTTTGTTCCAAGATGGAATACTCCATTTTATGTAAAGAATTTTTAAATTTCTTGTTGGAATTCTACTGTAAGTGACCAAAGCTTGCACGCATGCAGAAATACTTCGATGGCCAATGCGCCAATTGATTTCAAGTAGATGTTCTTGACTTCCCAGATGGTTCTTGGTTTTATGGCAACTGTCATTGTTTGTACTTCTCTTGAAATTATCTTTTTCTGGAGCCGTCTTCGCTGATAATGTAGATACCGTTCGCATTCTTACTGATTTTTAGATTTACATGCATTATATAATTAATATAAACAATTAAGAACGGAAATTTCTTTAAAGATTAAAGTTGATTTCTTGAAGTTGGCGTGGATTAAGAATTAAACGCTATACTTGCCTTTTCCAGACCAGAACATTTCATGGAAAATCCTGTTAAATGTTTCTTCTTTTCTTTGTGAAGAACGTTTGAAATAAGCTGACAATATTTTTAATTCTAAAGAACGAACATTCAAGCATGCGCACTTCCACGCATGTTTGTTCATCCGTCTGTGGGTAATATTTGCGGAAATGGTTAATATCGCAGTGAGAAAAACGAAAAGTTAAACGAAGCATCCATAATTTCGATTCATTCGAATGGCTTCTGAGATGGTATACCTCGCAAAACTTCGAAAATATAGCAAGCAGGCGTCACTGTTCGAGATTGTTAATGAGTTATAAGGCGGTGTGGGTAATAAGGTAGAATAGAATACAACATCTGTCTGTCTATCTATCTATCTATCTATCTATCTATCTATCTATCTATCTCAAGTAACAGCCTATCAGATTATGGATCACCTCTGCTGCTCTTGACTGAATCGTACTGCGACGTCTCGCCTCATGACGTTTCTATTGTAATTTCTGTCTGAATCTATCTATCTATCTATCTATCTATCTATCTATCTATCTAGCTAGCTAGCTAGCTAGCTAGCTATCGCAATCTGTTTATTATCTATCTATGGTGAATTAAGCAGACAGTGAACTATTTTTGGTACACGACACATAGCAGATCTCACTTGTGCATTTACCTGCCTTTTTTATCTTTCTATATGTATGCCTATTCTATGCACTTGTGTGTATATGATATGCATACTCTTTCACTCATCATGTTTGCAGAGGTGACTGTGTGAGTATTATCCAATAGACTGAAAACATTGCACTCACAGTCTCTGTCCAATAATGAAGGTTGGTAGGGTAGCAGAGAATAATTTAAATAATATATATATATATATATATATATATATATATATATATATATATATATATATATATATGTGTGTGTGTGTGTGTGTGTATGTGTGTGTGTGTATATATATGTGTGTACGTGTGTAAAGATTCAGATATAAATTAAAAATATATCTGTAAAAAGACTATATGAATAAAGACAAAAGGAAAACTATTCTTTACCCAAGCGTTTCGTCCTCTGATAAAATCCATCAGATGACGAAACGCGTTGGTAAAGAATAGCCTCCGTTTTGTCTATATTCATATATATCTATATATATATACGAAAGTGTGTCTGCGTGCGTGTACTCGACTGTAGAATATGGAAATATGCGTGTTTGTGAGTCGATATATTCCATTTATTTCAACATTATCTTATTGCTTTATATCATTATCTCCATCGAAGCACAAACGCAAGCGCGCATGCGCACAAGCACATATTGACGCATGAGTACATTTTTTTGAATAAGTAGGAAATTGTGGAGGACCATGATTACCAAAGTTCCGAAGAAACACGGAACATAAAAGAAGAAGAAGAAGAAGGTATATCGTTTTTACTTATTACAATGCTGACCGGAGCAATTCGCTCCGATTATCTATCTATCTATCTATCTATCTATCTATCTATCTATCTATCTATCTATCTCGAGTAACAGCCTATGAGATTATAGATGGCCTCTGCTGCTCTTGACTGAATCATACTGCGAGTTTCGCCTCATGACGTTTCTATTGCCATTTCTGTCTGACTGGTGTAGGACGATGATACTTAAAACAAGCTGATCCATAGGGCGTATATAAATTATTTATATCATTTTTACTGTTTGGGCTTTTTGTATATTATTATTATTATTATTATTTTGGGCACAGATTCTATAATTTGATCGCTATTTCTTTTGTATAGAGTGAATTGGCTCTGAATACATGAGCTAATATTTGTCATTGAAAAGCATATAAGCAATAAAGTCTTATTTTAAGCAACGCTCATATATATATATATATATATATATATATATATATATATATATATATATATATGAATAATGTCAACAATTGCCATCTTATTTTCTCAGCACATATTTTTTAAAAATGTGATTGTGTGAAGCTAGTATTATTCCCGTCTGTTCATTAAAATAAAATTATCTAATTCGATGGAAAAATGAGAGATTTTTCTTTATAACCAGGGCATCTGAATGTTTGCAACTTGGAATAGTGGCGTGGCTCTTTTGGTAAAGACATGATCCCTTTATATTGAAAGTATGGTTATTCTCGAGTTCAAATCTTGGAGCAACCTCCTTGATTCGGCGCCAGTCATTCGCACCTCCTGTCCATTCCAAATCTGGAAAATCTAAACAAAAAATGTATTACGCTTTATATGAGATCTTATATCAAAATGAATGAATATCTTAATTTATTTCCCCTTACTTACATATCCGCGTTTCACGCTATATTTGACTAGAAAAAATGATAAATTAACGTATGAGATTATACAAAGGAAATCTAAATGCTTTCTGTTCAAATAAAATATTGAGAAATTGGTATACAGAGGAAAATTTCTTTTATTTTTCTTGCTAACCGCCAGTTTCCTCAGATACGACAAAGGAATAAAAATGATGATAAAATTATTTAAAACGACTAGATTTTGACTTGTCAATAAATAATAGCAATAAATAAAATGAATTGTCAAACACAAACAGTAATTACAGTTCAAAATAACTAAGCAAGAAGTAGATAAAGAATAAAAAGTAATACTGACTGACTTCTTTGCTGAATGCAAAAAGTAAGGGGATCTTCTATCCATTTCACGTGGTTTTCTTTGAAATACATTAACTATAAAATTGAATACAAATTCAACAATACAATGTGAAGAATATTGGCTTTTAATGTCTGTACGGCTTTCCATATTGATACTTTGGTCCGTCAAAGCTTATATTTCTTTAACGTTTCTTTTTTTGCGTTTAAAATTAAGTTCCTACATATATGGCAACCAGTGTGCATCTGTATGTGTGCGATGAATATCATGTTGAGCATACAGAGAGAGAGACAGGAAAATAACTTTTGTGTATGAGCGAAGAAGAGGCAATCAGTATCTCAGCATGCGTAAATACATATGATATATATATATATATATATATATATATATATATATATATATATATATATATATATATATATATATATATATATAGTGAGTGAGGAGTGAGGAGTGAGTGAGTGAGTAAGTAAGTAAGTAAAATGTTTTGAAGTGTGGGAACATGCCTGTTGCCATAGCGGGAGTTTGAACATGAACCTCTGATTGTGAGCTGCACTTACAATATCAGGAGCTCTCATAAATTTGATTGTTATTTTTGACATAGCAAATAAAACCCCAAAAAACAAACAAAAAACAAGACAATAATTAATTAAATTTTAACAATCAGAATACAAAATAAAAATGTCAACTGAAACCCATTAACTTTATTAAGAAATTCAAACTTTTAATTAATTTTCCTAATTCTTTCTTCCTTACCTCCTCTCCGTTCCTCCCTGTTTTCATTTCCCCTTCAAAATTTTAATGACAGTTCGTAATCACACGACATTAACACTAGATTAATTCTTTGCTGAATATGTAACCTTAAAACTTGCAAAACAGAAGATAACGACAGATAGATAACTATCTATCTATTTGTCTATCTATCTATTGCACAAATATAGTGTTTTATGCATTGTCCATGCAAACCAAGTACAAAGAAAATCAATTCTTTCTCTTGCAGAAATTGTTAGAAATATATTGATAATTGATATACATTTTCTAATAATATAACTGAACGTTATATTCAAATAAAAAATCATTAACATTCTTAGCGTCTAACTTTTCGAAATGGGTTTTTTTCCAAATTTTATTCAATTTGTTTAAAAAATATTGGAAATGATTTCTAATCGAACACTAACTATTTTGAAAATCGATAATATTTTTCTCTTTCCTTTTTTTCTTGTTTTGAACAGGTATAAAATTTTCTTGATTTTTGGACTGTGACTGGTTCGATGTGACCATTCTTTGATCTATGACGTCATTACACTTTCTGGTGTGGCCATATTGCCTGTGACGTCATCACTGGTACGGGGCTATTCCGTTTCCTGGCATCCTTCCCACTGATCGGTTGGCAATTTTCCCAAAATGTCTATTCCACCATCCTTCTCGTCCTTCCTCCTTCCCTTTTCTCGTCAACGTATATTCACTGGTCACGTGTTTTCAACGCACTGCAGCACTGCTGCAGCGACGACGCAAGTGAACACATAGATGTTTAGCAAGACCTCTTGTCATCTGCTTCATTCACTCATCACTATTACCAGCATCCCTCTTGATCTTGCACATTTAGCCTTCCCGTTTTTCGCTTTCTCTCTTTTTAATTTGCTTTTCACACTATCGCATAAATACTTGCTTTTTTCTTTCTTTCTTTTTCGCCCTTTGTTTCTTTCATTCGTTTGTTAGTTCTTTCTTTCTTTTCTTTCTTTCTTTTCTTTCTTTCTTTTTTTCATTTGTTAATTCATTTGTTAGACCTTGTTTATTTCTTTCTTTTCTAATTCTTTCTTCGGTTCATTTGTAAGTTCTTTCTTTCTTTCTTTTTTTATTCTCCATTTTTTTCTTAAACTGTTAGACCTTTGTTTGTTTCTTTCTTTTGTTAGTTCTTTCTTTCGTTCATTTGTTAGTCCTTTCTTTCTTTCTTTCTTTCTTTCTTTCTTTTATACTCTCTTTTTTCTTAAATTGTTAGACCTTTGTTTGTTTCTTTCTTTTTTCGTAAACTGATTCTTCCTCCTTGTAAATATTTTACTTAATGAATTTCACTGTATGCAATATTTTATTTTATGCAATATTTTATTTCCATTTTTTTCCTTACTTCATAAGAAATCGACTTCTGTATCTTTACTGTCTTTACAATTATATCTTTTTCTTTGCAGTCAAAATAAAAGTATTTTCTTAAGTCTCCAAAACGAAGATTAAAAATAAATTGACATGCTTACAATCAGTTGTTTCCAAATAGAAAATATCTTATTTCCAATGTTTGCAATAATCTTATTATAAAACGTATGAAATGATTACTGTTAATAAAAGCCTTATCAATCAAAAAAGAATGTTAAATTAAAAATTATTGGCAAACAATAACGTTTTAAATCGATACAGACAGTCGAAGAAGATGTGTTTGTTCGCATTTAGTTATGATGAAGAGATGACATACGATAAGAAGATTAATTTCGCAGTAGAAGCTTGTAAAATCTTCGTGTCAATGATTTGTGTCTAATATTTGAAAACGTGACGCACTTCATCGTAAGCGACAATAATGGTTCGGGATGCGAACTGAAATCTAATGTAATTCAAAATAAAAATAACACCAGAAGAATAGTTGTTGAACAATCTACGACATTTAAAGAAGGACAAGAATTTACGATTTGGAATAAACAGGCAAAGCAGCCATCATGGTAAAAACCAGGCTCCCAAGGATAAGAGATACGAGTTCAAGTCTTGTCGGAGTCAATACAAATGTTTTAAATCCAGTTTTCTAACTTACGATCATAGATTGACGGTCTAGCAGTTGCGATAAAAAGGAACTGAGATAAAGATGTTGCTTCTCGTAGTTATATTGTAGAGGGTAACGTCGTAAATATGCCTGCCAGTGGGTTCTGTTCTTGGCAATTTCCTTTCGGCTGAGCCCGTTTCAGTCCGTCCACATGTGCCTCGCTCTCGACTGATCTTCTCCAGGTCGACTCCGGCTTTCCATAGGCTTTCACCAGCGTATATCATATGACCTTTTGAAGAGGGACCTTCCAAACCAGGACCTTACTGGTTTGCTCATTTTAGCAATCGCCTGATCATTGCTGTCACCCTTTCAGTAGCAAGGACATTGTACGGGGTGGAGTTACTAGCCTTGCGCCAATCCTCTTTTCAGTTTTTCTTTTCTTTTTTCTTTTTTGTAACTCGGGCTTGGGAGCAGAAACATCCCCCAAATGTAAAATCTTAGCAGAGATGAAAGAAATATTTGTCAAGAATTACTTATAATCCACAAGATGTTTTTTTTAAATGTGTTTTGGATAATAGAATCGAACAATATTTCAAATGTTAAGATCGCTTACCAATATTATAGACTATGCAAGCATAATAGTTTTAATAAAGGTTTTTTAGTTAATCTTATTTGCACAAATAACGAACAGTTGATACGTTGTGTGTTTGTAAAATCTTTGATATGTACTTAGGATAAATATCACAATTACTGAAAGAATGATCGGCAGAATGTCGAGCTTATTTTCACACTCATTTAAATTAAACTTCGTTGTTTTTAAATAAGTCTGTTTTTATGCTTGCAGAATATACGTGTTAGTGTTTATGACTTCTCGAGAGTTAGAAATTCTGTTCAATATCAGCATTAGGTTTGGATACTTGTGGCTTTATCAATCAATATCTGCGAAATTAAAACAAGCTTTATGATTGAATAAAAAGGTATTCTTTTGAATAGCCTATATTTTAGAATTTACGCATATGCAATTATGATTTATTTCAACCACAAGAAAATCTAACAGAACAATGTAAGATAGTTTGAAGTCTATTTATAAGTTGTAGATATTTTTAAAACAACATAATTTCTCCAGTTAAACAACGTATTTTTATGTTTTGCTGAAGGACAATCTTTGGAAATGGTTAAAAACCAGGAAATGTTTTTTTTTTACCAACAGACAATCCCTTAAAAAATAGCTAGCTTAATTGTCTGCTCACTTGAAGATGGTGACGCCTTTTCTAATTTTGTTTTCTTTTTGATGCTATAAAATCTGTTCCTATTACAACAGAGAATGAAAAACATATCCCCAAAAGAGAAACAATTTTTTATTAGTTTGCATCAAAAGTATTAGATCAACGCTTAACTAACAAAAGGGCAAATAGCAAGCCACATAGCGAGAAATATATTTGTCCTGAAGCAATGGGAGAGTTTTACTAAAGGGAAGTAACTATTTCCGTTTCGACTACTTTAAGACAGTTGTGAAAGCAATGATTAGCTTGAAGCAGCTGATAAGATATCTAGCAAGGAATTTCTTTGTAATCGTTTCTTTTTACACGCAGGCAGGGAATGGGAGAGTGATTCAAAACAATTCGTAGACAGACATGAAAGTATTACAAGTAATCATTATGTTGAAGCGTTTGGCGAAACGTTTTGCTGATATGACGGTACGTCAAAATATCCCTGCCTCAGTTGGTTAATTTAGCTTATACAATATTTAATATAAAATGATGTGCATTAGTTATTCTTTTTAATCATTTCACCCCAAGCAAGGCAGTAAACCCATTGAGAAACAAGGGGTTACTGAGTGGGAAAGAATAAGACAAAACAGAAAAAAAAGAGAAACATTATTAAGAAGCGGGAGCAAGAGAAGGAGAGTAATAGTTTCAATATTTTTCCAATAATACAACATATAATATGGTTAACTCATATTCGAGACGAATATAATATGATATCTGTATAAACATTGCAAGCAATTAATAGGTCATCAAAAACGCGTGAAATCCCACGGAGCTGGTATGGAGTCAGTCCTATTCGCCAAATAGACAAACACATGGCCTCACACCTGCATCTGGTTTTCTAAACGTGGGAAAGTTTTTTCAATACACGCATTTATATAAACAATCGCCCCGAGAAAGGATTTGGGCAATGTCTCACCCATTGCAGAAAGAATGTAAGGTCCACGTATCAGATCTGAGGCAATGGGGCTCGCACCACAGATTAGCTGAGAGTAACTGATACGTGAATAAAATGTTAGTTAATTCAAGTCTCGTTTTATCGTTTACTCGATATACCCAATTCCTTATGCGAAGATAGAAAAAGTGATTCTTCAGTGAATATTGTTGCCTATAATATTAACATTAGCATTTTCAAATCGTAATATTCGGTTTCGTTTCTGTTGTCGCCTTTAATTTAAAAATGCCTATCTGTTTGTATCTTAAACAAACTGGTTAATCAAGAAATACTCTTGTGAACTTGCCCACAACCGCTGATCTCGTTCCAGCCATTAAATTCTGTGAGTTTAAACATTTCTGATTGGATTATCATTCTGCCAGTTTCAGCTACACGTCAGAATTTAGATACTTTGTGATAAGGATTTATCTATTACTTATCTGAACCTCGGGTCTATATTGTTCTCTTTTGCTTTTAATTTCCACCTTACTCATCACTTTCCTGCACATCCATGCCCCACCTCCAACTAACACACACACACACACATTCTCTCTGACTTTATTTTCTTTATTCTTCCGCATTTTGCTTTTTTTTTTTGTATTTTGCCTTCATCCGACAGAGAAGTCGATGTAAAAATAGAATCACCCGGTACTGACAATCAGACAATCAGTGGTACAGTTCCCAAAAATAACATCCTATATTCTAAACTCTCCATAATACATATATATATATATATATATATATATATATATATATATATATATATATATATATATATATATTGAGTCGTTTTTGATTTCGAACTTTTACAAATTACCAGTTCTCAAACCATATACACTGTTAAACGACACACATACATTGCATTATATGATGTGGTGCTGAAAAGCTCGCGATCCGACCCTTTCCCTCAAACTCGTATTTAGTTAAATACTGATTTTCTGAAGTGGATTGGGCTGAGAACTTTTCAACACCCTCTCATAGAAATCGGCTCCCTTGAGAGACGATCATTGTGATCAAAAAGCACTCCAAGTACTGAACGCTTGCAGGCGTTAATGATACCTTTTTTTTCTTACTTTTTTTAAAAGTCTTCCTTGTAATTTTCTTTCCAAACATTATCTTTGCTCATGTTTTTGATGTATTGTTCTCAGAGGAAGGAAACAAAAACATGCTTTTTTTTTAAAACGTTCTTATTTTATTTGTTTCTTTTTTTGTTGTTGTTGCTGTTGATTTTTAAAATTATTTTTTTTTTATGAATTCGATTGCATTTGTCGAAACGAAATCAAACATTGTATTCCAGAAAGTCTGTAAACAAGAATTCCAGGAATAATTTGAATACGAAACATGTTTTAAGTCTCAATGACTACTGTTAAGTTTCAGCTTTTATGATACCACTTGATCTGAAATCTCAGATGAATATCGTAAACATTGACGCAGTCGCCATTTTTCGAACGTGGTACGTGTCCTCAATAAACGTCTAACAACAAGATTCATTTTAACTGACTTAACGTAAATCAATTTGATCGTTAGTTTATTGAAGCAGACATTCTTTCTTTTACATATGAAAATAGTCTTTCAAGTATATAAACTGAAAATAAAAATGTTCTAATTACATTGTATATTGTAATAATACAAACTGAAACGTCTTTTGGATATATTGATTGAAATATTTATTTCTTGTTTGAATAATCGAAGAGGAACCTCAAAATTTGGGTTTTATATAAAAAGGAAATAAACGGAAGGAGTCTTTATTTAAAGTCTCCATCTTTGCTGAAATAGAATCAATTTTCCTATAAATTTTATTTAAGGAAAGAAATTATTTTGAAAGAACTATTTTAGTGAAATCGAAAAGACATTTATGGAGGACATGTCGTACAATATTGAAGGTGAAAACTGAGAAGTCTACGCGCAGCCATAATTCTTGACCCTCTTCTTAAATGATGATAACATAAACTAAAATAAATTATTAAATAAACTACCTACATTGACATAACTATGAGCGTGTATTCTTCTGATACCTAAAAGCAAAAAAAAAAAAAAAAGATATATATCTGGAAAACCTTGTTTGATCGCGTTGAAATAAAAGAGTATTCTCTTCATCAGACATCGATAGTGTGAGAGGATTCACTTGGAACTGCACGTATCGACTCACTATTTCTGGAAGCTAATATTTTATAATGTAACAATCAATTGCAATATTCTACCATAGTTTTTTTTGGGGGGTAATGTTTTTAAGACGATTCTATTTAAATGGACATCGTTTTTATTTCTGTTATTCCTATTTTTATTCTGTTTCGAATGGAAAGTCGACGAATCTATAAATCTATTGTTGAAAAAACTGAACCACGAATGTGACAGATTATATCTGCAAATGCTACAAACGTGACACACGTAAAACATGTGATGATTACTATGCGAAAGAAAATAAAAAGGAAAAGTTAAATGGCAACACAATCAAAGAAAAAAATGTGTGCTGTTATCTGCAGGGAACTTAAAAGAATAAAAGAAAAACACAAGAAATGATTTTCCCTCAGTTAACACACGCGATGATTCTAAATAAGATATCAATTTTCTCCTCTTGGTCGTGCGGTCAAAGTTCAACTTGGAAGCTTATTGACAAATTGAAAGCTGGACGTAATCAGTAGTGATGAAAAAAAAGCATCACTTAAAAATTGGCGAGTAAAAGTTTTCCACTGGTGCATTAAAAACATGCACAAAAATATATACATATGTACATATATACATATGAAAGCCCAATTCACAATACAGACTCAAGTGGAAACACCTGTGCCATGATATTTAAAAAGCGTGAAGAAAAAAAAAGACTTGGAAGTATCTCCCCATTCCAACAACAATAACAACAATATATATATATATATATATATATATATATATATATATATATATATATGAATGAGTGTGTGTGTGTGTGTGTGTGTGATGAAGACAGTAAAAATAACAAAAAAAAAAAAAAAAAAAATGCTTAAAGAAATGTTAGTAAAACTGGATTGGAGAGGATCTTACCCCGAAAAAGAAGTCGTAAGTATATACATATATATATATATATATATATATATATATATATATATATATATATATACCTGAAGAAATATTTGCAATTAGAAAGAAAGGATCATCGTTTTGGACGATATTTTCCTTCCATTATCCTTGTTTTGAGACAAAGGAATAAGACGTCCTAAAGCCCGAAAACGTCCGATGAATTTGGCCAAGTCTTAGAAAAAAAAAAGGCAAAGACATAATAAAAATGTGTTATTGATAATGAATAGTAACCAGTTACCACTGCAGCCATTCATGACATCCAACCGGACACGGGCAACAAGATGATAAATACTACAAATGAAAAAAAAAGAAATATATAAGAAAGAAAACGTAAAAACGACAGACGTTTAAAATATTTCCTGATTTCTTTCAGCGTGAATACAACTTTAGCAGAGTCTGGAACGGCATGTTGCAGTCTGCGAACCTTGAAATCTGATATTCACAACGAAAAATTACAAAAATGGTTCGATATTGGATTTGAGGACTTTACAGGATGTCGACACTAATCAAAATAAAAAAAGGAACTACAGAATTTCTAAGGAACGTCTTTACCGCCTACAAAGCGCCGGAAGTACTACAGTTTACAAGACTGGGATTAATTTTTGCCTTGTGGACTACGTCAGCGCATGTTTCCTAAATGTATTACAAACGAGTAAGATGTACTTCCGGTTCTTCTTAACATTGTGATGTTTTTTTTTTTCTCTTTTTTTTCACTTTTTTTTTTTGAGGGGGGGTCATTTTTTTAAATCACCAATTTTAAAAAACAAACAAAAAAAAAAAAACTATTTTGTTTTTATTTGCTCCAAATATGGAAGTTTTGGAGCAGAAATAAACTTTCGTTGTGTGATACACATTATTATTCGATCACGTGATGCAACTTCACTTTTAGTGGTTATGTATATTAATTATCTAATCCTTCCCTAATTTTTTAAAAATAACATGTAAATTATTTGCAAAAAAAAAAAAAAAAAAACAAAAAAAACAAACAATCAATTCTCTTTCTGTCCTTTTGCCTCCATCTTTTTTCAAAGCATATATGCATTTATTGTTTCTTTTTTAAATCTATTTTTAATTGTTTTTATTGAAAAGAAAATTTTTTGTCCATCGCCAGAAAGAAAAAGGGAATAAAAAAGCAACAAAGATGTGTCCACACAACCAAACAACTATTGTAATGGATAAAAAAAGAAAAACTTCTAGAACTGCCCTATAAAGTTATCTGAGGTAAGAAAAATAAAAGAACATTAAGTAAAGTTTAAAAGACTTATTTCCCAAAATGAAATGTGGAAAAAATCAAACCAGTATCATTAAAAGAACACTAAGAACAATGCAAGATACAAATATGCGTAACCTGTTTACATATATCATCGAAAAAAAAAGCAAGAAAAAAAAAAAGGAATTTTCATCTTTTAATATTATTATTACTACTATGATTCTTTCTCTACACATAGAAAAATTCCATTCGGAGACATGTTTAAAAATGTCTTTAGCAATGGAAACTTAGATGCAAGTTTCATCTTCTTTACTATTTAAACTAATAATAATTTTGACCGATCATAAAGCAATTTGACTAGTTCCATTCACAGAAGTAATTAGTATGTATTTATTTTCTTTTGCATTGAAAATATTTAAAGAGCTTAAAGGTTGGTCACTCCAAGTTTGAAAATTTTTTTTAAAAGTTTGCATTGTATGAAAAAATATGACCGACTCTTACTCAAATCAATCAACTGCAAATCAATTAATGCCCCCTTTTCCTCCACTGAGTGCGGGGAAATACAAACCAATATTTAACACGAATAAAAAAAAATTATTTTCATTATGCTTAAATTATTTCATTTATATATTTGCATAAAACACAATATGACTTTTTTCCGATTACAGACGTTATGTTTTATAGATTAAATGTAACATTTGTTTATGAAACAGGTAGTGTAATTTTATTAAAATATTTAATTTAATTAAAAAGTTAATTTTATTCAGTATTTAATTTAATTTATATCCTTAATTAATTATTAATTATTGATATATTTAACATATATGGTTTCATATAATTTTTAAAATTAATATATTTATTTAAATTGAAGCGTGTTCGCATTCTATGAAACAGATAATGATATAGTATTACCTGCAGCATCTTTTAGCTTGCAAATCAGTTAAATGCCTCTTTTTCCTCCGCTGAGTGAAGGGTGAAGTATATAAAGTAATCAATAAAAATTATTGAAAAAAAAAAAAAACAAAACAAAAAAAAATAGAAAGATAATAAAACACACACATTCAACATAAAACCTCATTAAGTACTTTCGCTTTTCTTTTTTTTTCCTTTTTTAGAATTGTAAAATAATATTTTTAAAAGAAAAATAATAACACTTTAAATTCTCGAATTTATTTACTTTTTTCTTTCTATTCAAAATTTAACTTGTGAATAATGATACCTTTTCTTAGTATTGCATCTTGTTTTGCAAGGCGTTCAATAAAACCACCAGCAGCATCATTTGAAACCTTAACCGTTTCTTTCTTTCTGTCTATCTATTGACCTTTTTATTTTTGCCTATCTATCAATCTCTTTCTTTCTCACTGTTTATCTATTTATCTCTTTCTCACTACCAATCTGTTGATCTTTCTGCCTGACTATCGAGCTCATTCTTGCTTTCTGCTTATCTATCAATCTTTTTCTTTTTCTCTCTCTCTATCTTTTTCTCACTGCCTATCCGCTGAACTCTCTGCCTTTCTTTCTGCCTATCTACTGACTTCTCTCTATATAGCTGTCTATTCAAGTCTTTCTTTCTCTTCGTATATCTGTTAACCTGTTCTACTCTCTACCGATTTATTGAACTTCCTCTTTCTTTCTCTTTCTGCCTATCTGTTGAGCTTTCTCTTTCTATCGATCGTTCGATCGATCGATCGATCTTGCTTTCTCTCTTCATTCCTATCTTTTGATCTCTCTGTCCCTTTCCCTGCCTGTCCGTTGATCTCTTTCTCACTTTCTACATGTCTTTTGATTTTTCCCTCTCTCTCATTCTTTTTACCTATTGATCTCTTTCTCCTGCAATGTATTGATCTCTCCCTTTCTTTCGAGGTATTTATTAATATCTCTATTTCTCTCTCTCTCTCTCTCTCTCTCTCTCTCTTTCTCTATCTTGCTATCTAA